TTGCACATTGTAAAGCATATGTAAGGCATCCCATGTTTTTGCTTGCCCCATACTGTTACTCCAGCAGTGCACAACTTTGCACAGCTCCCTAGAAGCATATAACACACGACTCTACATTAAAACACCAGCCTGGAATTTCAATGGAGCAGTGGCGGCCAACTGTGAGCAGTATGTCTCTCATACTAAGTCAGTTGCACACTAGTGGTAACTACAGTCACTGTTGCCCATGTGTTTAACAGTGATAATAAGCAAACACTCTTTGAAAAGACAAAAGTTTCCTTTTAGTAGTAGCTCTCAGTACTAGACGACAGTACTAGTCAATGCTAGTGGCATTATGTGCAATATCTTTTTACTAATACAAGCTGCTCAAGTACTGGACTTCGAAAAATTTTGAGAAGTCTGTAAAAATTTTAATTCTGAGTAGCACACAAAAAGTCAAAGCAAGAAAGATGCAACAAACATAGAATGTAGTTGATCAAAGCGATTTCAGCAGACTTTTTCTAAAAAGGATGTGAAGGATGTTATACTGATGTAGCTTCTCTGCTGCCAGAAATGAAGCCGCTGCATGTGCAACAAAAATATGTACATCGGAACTGCCCCACAACGATAGCCACAAAAGAAGAAGCTGTGCTCATTCTTGTTAATAAAGCGACCACTTAAAGGAGTCCCGACAAAAAACATCGCTCTGCTGGACAGCTACCAACCCTCCATTTTTGCTCTGGAGCCTTATTTCCTAGAGAACACAGAAACATAATTGGCTACCTTCAAGTCTTAATAATTCAAAACATGCCTACGCCCTTGTGGCAGCCCACTCACAATCTGGTGCTCACTTCAGTGTTGTTAATCGGTACAATCACCATGTGAAGGCACACGTTGCATGCAGATTAAGAATAGCAGGACATGCGTACGAAAAAATAAAATGCCGAAGTTCAAGCACTTTCACACCAGTCCGAATTAATGATAATATGGCAGATTTTGCAAAATAGCTTGTACTGGTTAACCTGGCGGCTAAAAAAGAAGACATCACAAATTGTGTCAAATATTGTCCAGAGGACAGCTAGTTAAAGCCAAGGACATGCCTTGTGCCAATAGAATGGTTTTGCACAGCGTATTACGCTACTTTGTGGCTGTTATTGTTTTATGTAGCCAGAGTTAAAGCGAACAGAAGTGTTCTCTCTGCCCTCCGAGGAACGAACACATTTTCTCTCTTCTGAAGCCTTACACATTTCAGCACATTTACATTTTCAGCATGGTTTCTTTGCAAGAACCTTAGAATTCATGAATTTCAAAAGTGACAAATGATTTAATTTTACTGATACAATTATGCCCCAAAAAGATTGCTATCTGCTAAAATTTCTTAGAAGGAGACGTTATGCACACCTTAACTGATCATACAGGAAAGGCCTTAAATGCAGCCCATGTTTTAATGCATTTGGCACTCTGTGCCAGCTAGCAGAATATGAAATAGTCAGAGGAATTCAGACTCCCCAGAAGAGATTGATATATTGAGTGATGAGAAAGGAGGTTTACCTTAGTGCAAGCACAAATATGCGTCAGTGAACGAGATTCATGGTTTCATTGGCGTCCAAAAAGACGCATTTCTTTCAAGCATGCCTCTCACTGGACTGCTGTGAACATATCCAAACAGAAGATTTCCTGCTAACAAATACTCAAGTGGGGGAAAAGGGAGCTGAAGCACCAAAAATTTGTCACACATCATCCATTCAACATTCAAGTGGGTGGAGAAACCTAATATGCTGACACTACCCTTCCAAATAAAACCTTGGTTATGACGTCATTGTTAGTCCATGTAGCATTGAGGCCGTGTTGGGGTATGTATTGAAACACATCGCCAACAGGAAAAGATGATGCGGTGAGCAACAGGAATGTAGAAGTGAATGGGTTGTAGCAAATAAATTGTGAAGCCTTCAGGTGAGTTAATACAACCGCGCTCTTTTTGGTGCCATTTTTTATGTACGCCAACAAAAACTGTGGACGTGTTTTTGACAGCAACAAGGTGTCTGGCATGCAATGTATACAAACATTTGGCTTCATACTTGCAGCTTTTAAAAACAAGCTATAGCGTCTCTCATATAATACATGACTACATGATATGCACATAGATTTAATGCTAGCTGTAATTAATATATCACACATGCGAAACATGTTTTTCTAGGCTGAAACTCAAATTACTTCAATACTTGTCGAGCTCATTGTGACAAGTTATAGAGCAAACTCGAACTTGTTAAGAGCAAGGTAAAGAGTGCGTCAGCAAGCCGCGTACAACGATATACACCAGCGCCCAATCATAAACATTACTGACCAGTCAATTCCTTCGGAAATTTATAGATAGCATCGCGGTATCATAGCGTGCAATGCCACTGCCACTTTAGGCCTTTTCTTCATTGTAATGCAAAGCGTTTGTGCGTGTTGGCACCCGCATTTGTCCTAGCTGTAAAAGATCGCCGTCGCGCCAAATGCAACTCGATCGATACGACTTGCGTGCGGTAACGACGATGACAACAACAACAAAAAGGGGAGCGCGTAATTATCCTTAAACACAGATGACTACGGCGACGCAAGACTTGCGGCTGAAGAACGTGTTGTGAAAATGCAACAGCCTCGATTTAATGATAAACGCGGCGGCTTGAACCAACGCATTCAATAACTTGTCAGCGTCGTCTGCTGTTGGTGACGGTTGCCGACCTCGAAAACTGAAGCTCCGCCGAATGTTTGCCAGCCTCAACCATCGTCACGTCGTCCAACCAGAGTGCACATAAGAGCCGTTCATGCTGAGCTCATGCGGCTGGCGCTTCTGTTGCATTTTGGCGCCGGGCCGCCATTGTGCTCTCAGCTTGCGGGCGGCAGGGGTCCCGCCATGGGCGGATCGGGTGTGCGGAAAGCACGTGGAATGGCCCGAAGTAGTTCTGTGCTCGCGCTGCTTGAGCTATGCACGAGCGGCGTGAGAGGCGCGGCGCGGTAGGTAAGACATTTTGATGATGAATGCCGATGATGACGCCACACCGCTGCCACAATTTTGTTAAGAAACGCTTGCGAAGCGTCTCATAAAAAAAAGTGCGGTTATAAAAAGCCAAACAAACTCGTCCACACTACTTTTCTGGATTGAGCGTGTCGGTTTCGAAATTTATCTTCTCCCTAAACTGCCAAGGATTGAAATAGCCTTCCTGAATCTATTGTCTTTGAAAGAAATGCAGAAACATTCAAGCACTCATTAAGTATGAGCTTTGTTAGATCACGTCAAACAATGCATTTTTTGTACACATGCAATGCGTCTTCCATTATTTTATCATTGTATAAGAAAAGTTTTGTACCTAATGTTTTGTGCCCTACACTTGTACCTTGAAGTCCAGTTTCTTTATGACTTCTCTTTATCTGTTGTCATTTTTGTTTTGTTTTGTTAATTTTATATTTCATTCCCTCTCATCACTGTTTTCTACATCTCTATTCAGTAAATATTGGTCTTAACACATTTTTCTTGCGTGCTCTGTGCTTTCTGTATTGCTGTTGAGTTTTTGCTCTAAGCATTCGCTGAATCTCTGTAACCTCCTCCCTCCTCCCTTATGTAATGCCCTTCAGGGTCCTTAAGGGTTAGTAAATGATAATTATGAGGAAAAGTAATTGCAACCTTTTTTATGTATTTCACTTGTGCCCTTTTAAACACAATGGCTAAAATGTTTGCACATTGTAAAGCATATGTAAGGCATCCCATGCTTTTGCTTGTCTCATACCGTTACTCCAGCAGTGCACAACTTTGCACAGCTCCCTAGAAGCATATAACACATGACTCTACATTAAAGCACCAGCCTGGAATTTCAATGGAGCAGTGGCGGCCAACTGTGAGCAGTATATCTCTCATACTAAGTCAATTGCACACTAGTGATAGCTACAGTCACTGTTGCCCACGTGTTTAACAGTGATAATAAGCAAACACTCTTTGCAAAGACAAAAGTTTCCTTTTAGTAGTAGCTCTCAGTACTAGACGACAGTACTAGTCAATGCTAGTGGCATTATGTGCAATATCTTTTTACTAATACAAGCTGCTCAAGTACTGGACTTCGAAAAATTTTGAGAAGTCTGTAAAAATTTTAATTCTGAGTAGCACACAAAAAGTCAAAGCAAGAAAGATGCAACAAACATAGAATGTAGTTGATGAAAGCGATTTCAGCAGACTTTTTCTAAAAAAGATGTGAAGGATGTTATACTGATGTAGCGTCTCTGCTTCCAGAGATGAAGCCGCTGCATGTGCAACAAAAATATGTACATCAGAACTGCCGCACAACGATAGCCACAAAAGAAGAAGCCGTGCTCATTCCTGTTAATAAAGAGACCACTTAAAGGAGTCCCGACAAGAAACATCGCTCTGCTGGACAGCTACCAACCCTCCATTTGTGCTCTGGAGCCTTATTTCCTCGAGAACACAGAAACATAAATGGATACCTTCAAGTCTTAATAATTCAAAACATGCCATTTTGTGAAAAGGATTCATGCTATCGAAGCTAGTTGCTGAGGTCCCATCATAAAAGATAGCCCGCATTCCTACACATGCTATAATAATGGTGGTGCAGAAAGCAGAACCCAATTAGGTTTCATTTGAAGAATAGCAGATAGTTTGTGCCCTGGTGTTTTCAATGAAAAGTACACAATGAAAAGGCTTTATCAGAGCAGTACTGTAAGGCTTGTACGGCCTTCGAACAGCCCACCATCATCTGAGTGCTACCTCCATTTCCTGACACTGGTTGCATCTCCTCATGACTGCAGTAGCACTGCGCCTGACTTTATTTGTGCAGGTAATATAAAATGTCATATAATTAAATATCCATGGTTCTTTTGAGAAACTGAGGATTTGTAATGTGGATTCCATAGCTAGTTAAAAATGCAAAGAAAATGGAAGCAAAAATGAAAGTGTTGTGATTCTACTTCTTCTAAGTAAAGGTTACTCCGATAAAAGCATGCATGAAACACATTTAAAAGCACACAACTCAATTTGACAACAAAAGAGAGCTGTCATCTTTATTACAACATTCGTGTTTCACAGACAAAAACCATGATCCCTGTGCCCGAAACAAGGCTGCAATAATCCAGCAAATCAGTTAGCTATTTTTAATGATAACTTTCCCAAATACAAGTAGCCAAGATAATCCACACATTTTTTTTTTATGAAAATGATACAAACATATTCAAATAGATACTTTCAAGTAAAACCAGGACAGTTGGCACAAGAATGTCTTTTGAGCTTACTGGCCATGTTTCCAAAAATAAAAGTGAGATCTGATGATGAGCAACTTCAAAAAAAATAATAATATATACACAGCAATGTGCTCAGGTACTTTTAGTCCCTTATTTTTTTTATGATACATGATAGTATTTAAAAATTAGTGGCAAGTTGCAGTGACAATTGGCCAAGTCCAAATGTATGTTGAACCATGATTGCCCGAGTGCAGAGTGAAGATGTTATTATGTAAGAAATGAAGCTGAAGCCCACTGAGACTCAATCTTGCATTTAACAATAACAACTATGTGGCTATTAAGATGACAGATGTCAAGTCTGAAAAAAAAGTGAAATGGCCTGTACCAGAGCATATTTCTCACTTAGGACTACTCTCTGAGTGAGTCCCTCCTCTTTACATTCAAAAACAGTTTGCAATGCCATGCGCTACACTTATGTGAAATGCATCTCAATTATAATAAGGAACTTTACATCATGGGCTTTGCACAGGTAAAATTTTATACGAGCCACTTACAATGCATACTTTGTAAACATGCCATGGGTATGAGAACAATAGCTGTATATTCAATGTAGCTATCCTTCATTTTAAGAACTTTAAATAAAAACTTCTCATTCTAAACTTTGTTAATATAAACAACATGACCAAGAATTGGTGTGATTTTTAGCTCATGATAAAAAAAAAAAATTTCCTGGTAGGGCTATGCCAAGTAAAAGGCCTTACAAATTGTTCGTGAACATGCTAGAGCTTCTCCGTAAATGACCTGACAACACTTGTGCCTCAGTGTGCATTTCACGCCTACACAATAAAGGAGGTTGCTACCAAGTTGTGAACAATAAAGAAGCAGTAACATCACCATCTCACATATGTTATACAATTATTGTTAGTTATTTTTTATGACATTCAAATCTCTGCATGTAATCGGCAAACATATTACGCAGTGAACTAAATATGAGCAAAAGACTGCCCCAGTACCTCCTAGGGTGGCATACACTGCCCATATGAAAGCCTGTTCCAGAGCTACAAATGGCTCCGTGTTCAAATCTGTTTCAACTTGCGAGAACAAACATTGCAGATCCAACCAAAATCTTTTCAACTACACTGTTCACACAGTGCCTGCGGCACATATGTGGATAACTGATCTCTACATGAACAATGAGAACAAATTGGGACAACCAATTGCATACACACAGTCGGCAGACGTGGTAGTAGTGATTTCGCAAGGTGCCCTAGAAGGTAAACAAGATGGATGACATAAGATTATCAAAAAAAAGAGCAATGAGAACAAATTGGGACAACTAATTGCATACACACAGCCGGCAGATGTGGTAGTAGTGGTTTCGCAAGGTGTCCTAGAAGGTAAACAAGATGGATGACATAAGATTATCAAAAAAAGAGCAAGTCAAAGTTTAAAATAAGCGTGATCCCCCAGTATCCTGTTGTTGCCCAGTATTTTAGCTATTTTATAATGAGGCCTATGAAGCTAGGAGCCCAAATTTTTTCAAAATGCAAACAATATACAAGAAATGCTCACACAAACACAAGCTCAGCAGCAGCCCAAAATGAACAAAAGATGACTGCTTCATTGGGCATGTTTGCACAGAGTACAAGCACAAAGCATACATCAAGCACACAATTAAAAGCTACCACCTTAAACAGGGAGTAAGAAAAGAACGGTACTCTACAAACCATATGCTTGAGGCTCTATGTTCGTACTATGTAGTGGTAAAGAGAGACAAGTGCTTAAACAAAATATATTCAAACCTAAAGTAACTTTTTATTGTATTAAAGAGATACTAAAAAAAAGTCATAACCGCAAGAATGTACAGGTGGTGTCCCCGCTTTGAAGTTACCACACCCACTCACTGTGACGCCATAGATTTTGATGGCGTCTCCTAGAGCTTATATAATCGTTTGTCACTAAAAATGATCTACATGTTTTAAGGGGAATCCCTTTACATAGCCGGTTCAAAAAAGTTTCATTGAGAACATGTGTCAAAATGCGTGAAAAGGCTTGGAAATTTCTGACGTCACACCGATGTTCACATGTTCCCGAAATTCAAGCTTTAAACATCGACCTTCATTTATGGTTCAATTATTTTTTTATGATGGTCAAATTAGTGACAATAGATTTCTTAAAGAACAGTATAGCTGTTTTAAACTAGTTTAATGCTTCCCTTTATTGCCCTTTTAACATGTGTATGGTAGTGCATGCCCCCATTTGACCTTATGTTATTACCAAGTTGCTTAAGTGTTCCCATATTTCTATTGGTTATATATGAATGTATTATGTATGACCAATTCATAGTTATCCGAGTACCATATATCTGAATAACTGTATGTTAACCTTAGTACATGACCCAGCATCATCCAGAGATCACTGCCACATAAAACATTCATAAATCCCAACATGGACAAATTATTGTTCCCATACTACAAAGATCAATAATTACACTAAACACATTGAATGCTTTTAAAAAAACTGACACAAAAATTTGGCATATGCCACATATCTTGCAGTTAACAGTTATGGCCCACTTATATTCATGCCTATGAAGTCTTAATTCTTTCAACACCCAAGCAGCTTAAATCTACATGTAGTCTTCTAGTCCAGCGAAGACAAACGTGCACCAAATAGAATGCAGCTTCTTGGAAGTTAATGCAAGTTTCGACAGAGCCACAAGAAACTTGGAGGACACTCAATTTCTGCCTTTCAAAATAGAATGTAATAGTTTATTCAACCCTGTTTGTAACACTTTCTCATTTGCTTGCCATACTTTGCCTCTCAATGGACATTTCAACCATGTCGTGAGGAAAGGAACGTCTTCAGGTGACAGTGGCAGTTTCAAACTCTACTGGGAGGCTTACTGCATGTATGGTTGTGAATTACCTACTACCGTCAAATCCCCAAAAAGTTCCCTCCCCACATTGAAAGATAATAAGACAAAATTTGGCAGGGACTCTTGCTCGGTCATGAACCGAAATTCAAGCTGGTGGCAGAAGAGCCTCTAAGGCGAAAGCACATTTATGCTTAAGTGTTTTGTTGAATATACATGCATCTAATGTTCTTACTAAAAGTAGGGAACCCTTATGTGAAACTTTATCTGTAATGACAAGGTGGAAAAAGTGTTCTTCAAATGTTCCAACAAGCTGTCACAACTCAGAATACAACACAGAGTCACCACACTGCCAAAGCACCAAGAAAACATGCACATATGTGCAAAGGTCGGCAAACTCACTGATGAGATGACTCATTTGGATTCATTGAGACTAAGATCGAGCCGCGAGTCTGAGGGTGTCATTTTCGAGTCCTAGCGACTCCAGTAGGAAAAAATTTTCATGAGTGTGAGTCCAAGTGAGTCCGAATCAGAAAAATTTTGGCGAGCCTGAGCAAGCCCTAAACGCAAATTATACTTCATGAGTGAGTCCGAGTGAGCTCTACAAGTTTCGCTGACCTATCTTAAACTCTCAGGACTTGGGCTACTAAGAACCACTGTTGCATGATTCTGTAGCTCGAGAACTGGTTGAAAAAAGAAAATGAAATATTGCGCGAGGTGACCGGGTGCTTGCTCAGTCACTGGTGTATCTTTCAAATCTCCCTAAGAGGGCAAGGGGGTGCTGCTTGAGTAGGAGCAATTGCTCAGGATTTCACGACATACATTTGTAAGGCGAAAATCCCGCCTATGTAGTCCAGCACCTCGCACATTATTTGGCAGATGATGATAATTATGGCTGAGCCCTTTGTAATGGGCAGCATCTTCAAACCACGCACTCATTATGTAACTCATAGGTGTGACACCTGGTGAGATTCTGCACTTGTGCAATGCACTATTACACCTGTTAACAAGACTCCTCTTCTGAAATGACATTTGTATAGAGTCCCGAAGCAGTTTCAAGCTCTAGTTAAGCTGTTAAGCTATGTGGCAAAATACTCTATTGCCCCGCAGGATCACCAAGCTTGAGTGCAGCTCGAACTGCAATTTTGATTCTTTGAATTCGATAGAACTTTTCACTCACGAACAGTGCTGCCAATGCCAGCACCCCATTTTTCGCAACAAAGGCTCTTTAATGCTGCAATGTTAAATTCGGAGATAGCAATCATCAAGTATCATGAATCAGTGGCGTAGCCAAGAGTGGCACACCGGGCCCATGAACCCTTCCTCCCTCCAAGTTTTTTTTTTCCCATGGCATATAGAGTACAAAATGGCACTCAACTACATCTGCCTACCCGACCCCACTCAAAATTAGGGAGGTGTCCCCCCCCCTTCCGCCCCCAAAAATTTCTGCCTACACCCCAGTCATGAACTACTAATGCACACATCAGTCAATTATTTAGGTTTTTATAGTCAATTAATTTAGGTTTTAATTGATCATAGCAAAGATGACATAATTTGTGATATTTTATTGACATTAGAAATCAATGCCCAATACATGATTAAGGAATTGACCACTTTCCGGATTACAAAAAAAATGACAAAAACTTTGTGCCAATGTTCCTTCAAGTGACTAAACTGAGCATGCCCATGTTAAAGGATTTCATTAATGAAAGTCGTGGAGCCATGAAAATCATATCAAATATGCAAATACTTTAAAAATTATGCCAGATATCTCATTTTTAATACTGCACCATGGCTGCACTGAGCAGTGCTTTACATTAACAACTGCATACGAACTTCCATAATGATGTTGCATATGTAGCAGCACCACATTTTGCATGAAGCGCGTGCGCTGAACTTCTGCTTATGCGCACTGCGTGAAACGCAGCATTCTTATGCAAGCAATGTCGTTACCAATGTTGTAGATGCTGCCATCTAGGAAAAGCCAGGCAAGGCCAGTGACCGCGTGTGCTCGAGGTGCTCGCGTGACGCAGGGCTGGGCTCTTAGGCTAGAACGCGGTTCTAGAATAAACCTGTGTCCACGTAACCCAGCCTCCTGCCTTCTCGCTCGTCCCTGACGACTCAACACGGTGTCAGAAGAACAGGTGCTACCAGTGGACATTGGCTTGTAGTCATCATCCTAGTCAAGGACGCCGCAAGCAAAATAGCACCGGTCATGGTGTCATTCATTATTCAACCACCGGACGCCTTCAACTTTTCATCGCCGAACGAGTGGCAGAAGTGGAAACAGCGTTTTGAACGTTTCTGAACCTCATCAGGCTTGTGCGTGAAGCCCGAGCAACATGGAGTAGACGCCCTACTCTACATCATGGGTGAGCGAGCCGAGAAAATCTACGCCACCTTCACTTTATCTGAAGAGAACTCCAAGAAATTCGACGCCGTCGTGGAGCAGTTCGACAAGTATTTCATTCCACGACGCAACGTAATCTTCCAACGAGCCAGATTCAACACCAGGCTGCAACAAGATGGTGAGTCGGCCAAAGATTTTGCCACTGCGCTTCACACGCTTTCGAAAGATTGCGAGGTCGGTGCTCTTCGAAAAGAGTTCGTGCGCGACCGCCTCAGGTTGGGATAAAAGACAAGTAGCTATCTGCCACGTTACAGCTCAACACAGAACTCACACAACAAAAGGATGGAGGCGGAAATGTTGTAGGCCCGTGTACTCAGATTTGGGTGCACGTTAAAGAACCCCAGGTGGTCAAAATTTCCGGAGCCCTCCACTACGGCGTCTCTCATAATCATATCGTGGTTTTGGGACGTTAAACCCCACAAATCAATCAAATCACAACAAAAGGCTCTAGATTCCATTCGCCAGATGGAAAGTATCTGTCAGCAACAAAGAACATGGTACAACTATCAGTTAAAGCGCACGAAAAACAGACATGAAGAGAGGATAGTTATACCATGCATATCCAACTAGCCCAACTTTCGATTCTGTTGCAACAAAGAGAGCTCCTCCAAGAAGTGCCATCTTTGAACAAAGTTGCATCCGGTGCGCAGACCAGTCGATGTGTTTCAATGCATGGTGAAAGCGGCAGTTATCTACACGGGGCAAGCAAGTCATCTTCACCCACCGGTAAAAACAGAGCCAAAACCGTGCCGTTGGTGTGGTCAAGAGCGTCAGTCTCGCACTCTCTGTCCAGCACACTCGGAAGTGTGCAGGAATTGCCAGAAGAAAGGTCACTATGCCTCCGTATGCATGTCGCGACGTCTCGACTGTGTCGAGAAGGAGCACGGAACTTTAGAAGCAGGATTTCTTGAAGCAATCAAGACGACGAATGCTGGAAAATATGAAGCAGCAATCTTGGTTCAAGGCCAGCCAATGAACTTCAATATCGACACTGGTGCCGACGAAACCGTCCTCCTGACGCACGTATTCCAGACGCTCAAGAACAGGCCACTTCTATCAGCTCCTCCTCGTCAGCTGCATGGCCCAGATGGAAAGCGTCTTCCAGCAACAGAAGTGGCACAATTCCAGCTCGTCTACCGCAACCATGCAACTACTCAGGATATATACGTCCTAGATCAGATCTGCACTCTGTTGCTAGGCAAGCCAGCCACCAAAAAGCTACAGATGCTGACCTTTGTAAACGCCGTTGCCGACAAAGTGAACCTGAAAGAAGAATTTCCAACGGTGTTCAAAGCACTCGGCAAGCGATGTCAGCAATGCATTGAAACAAGAGTAAACAGGAAAATGCCACTAATAAGCTCCGAATTCCCTGAGAGGGGTTGGCAATGCATTGCGATGGATTTGTTTCACTTCCAGAACCAGTGGTGGTTGATAGCTACCGACTATTATTCAAGATACCCCGAACTAGTTCGACTTGAGAAGCTAACTTCCGCAGCCGTAATCAACCACTGCAAGTCAATTATTGCACACCACGGAATTCCCGAGGAAGTGGTTTTCGACAATGGCCCGCAGTTTTCGTCAACTGAGTTTTCACTCTTCGCCCAATACTATGATTTCAAGCACATTACATCTACCGCTCACTATCTTCAGAGTAATGGACTTGCAGAGGCTGCAGGGAAAATGACCAAGACATCCATGATGACGACCAATGACCCTTACCTGACACTTCTAGCTTACAGGTCGACTCGTTTGAAGAATGTATATAGCCCTGCCGAACTGCTCATGGTTTGTCGGCTGAGATCCAGGCTTCCTTTGTGTTCCACCAAGCTGACACCCCAAGTGCCACATCAAGACAGCCTTCAGTGTTTTGAGGAAAGATACAGACAACGTCAAAGGAAAGACTTCGACAGACGTCATGGAGTCCGCGACCTGCCGGAACTTCTTCATGGTGATGCCGTGAGGGTGACAGACCTCAAGAGCAAAGGGACAGTACAAGCCCCAGCCGATTAGCCGAGATTGGGTTAACAACACTGGTGCTGTGCATAGAAAATGAACAGAGTTAGTCCCATATTCCCGAAGTGACAACAACGCAGATAGTGCCAGTACCAGTGATTGTGCTACAGACACTCGCTCGCGTTGCCAGGACACTTCCCATGGGAATACCAGAAGTGGCAGGTGCGTGAAGCCGCCTGCTGCAGCAAACGTCGCTCGATTGCGTTGGGAGATGTTGTAGATGCTGCCATCTAGGTCAAGCCAGGCGAAGCCAGTGACCGCGTGTGCTCGAGGTGCGCGTGGGGCGCGGCTGCGCTCCTACTAATTGATTGATATGTGGGGTTTAACGTCCCAAAACCACTATATGATTATGAGAGACGCGCGGCTGCGCTCCTAGGCAAGAACGCGGTTCTGGAATAAACCTGTGTCCACGTAACCCAGCCTCTTGCCTTCTCGCTCGTCCCTGACGATTTCAACAAAAACACTTTATATGCAGCACGAAAATTCCCTATTAAAGGGGCACTAGAGTCAAATAACAATTTAAGTCACAGTAAAAGCTCAATGTCTCACAACATCTAAAACGACAATATTATCAATAGTAGTGCCTTACTTACAGAGAAATCAATGTAAATGCATGAGAACACATGCACCACGAGTACGACATTCACAAAATGATCCCGATGACGTCAGATTTACCGCCTACAATTATTCCCAGTAATTAACTAGCTCCACTAAATAAAAAACTTTCCATGCATCAAGAGGCATAATAAAATGCTGCTTGTTCGTTTCTGTTTGATTCACGAAAAAAAGAACCGCCGGACATTACTATGGCGAATGGCACGATTGGTTCAAAAGTTCAATTTTCGCCTGGTAAACTGGACAGGTCGTGTCACCTAGCAGGAGCCAGTTGAACCAAGCAGCCCTGCCATCTCGGAGGCCATGGCAGGAAATTGTTCAATGGCCGTTGTTGCTGCTGTGGCTCTCGCTACTTTCGTTCTGCTGCTACTAGTGTTGGCAGCCACGCGGTAAGGCCGGCCACAACAGTGATGTGAAAAATGTCACTTAAGGCGGGTAATTTGAAGTGTGCTAACGCAATGCGGACCGCTAGAATGTGATTTCATTGCAAAATAAGCACTTCTTTGGCACAAAAGTAGCACTACGAGATTTCTCGGCTGCTATTTCAGCAAACAACATCGACTTAATATTTGCCTTTAGTGTGCTGCATCAGCACAATTCCGGCTGAACTCCTGTCGTCTTCAAGCTTAAATTTTGCTACATGGTAAATATACCTTTGTACAACATTTTAGCGCAATACTTGCCTTTCTCAATCAAACAAAACAAGCTTGAACAGAGGCAGAATTTTCACTGCGACCATAATGGCAAAACGAATTACTAAGTACACCAACTTATCGACAGCCCTGTTGCTTCGCTCAAACATTAATAGATAGAATCTCCATTCCGATTCAGTTTCTATTACTTCAACACTCCTTGCATTTAATCTGGATGGAACAGGAAAGCACGCACCCACATGTGTTATTAAATTATATTTGCTATGAAGCATCACCCTTAGATTAAAGTTTAACACAATAAGGACGATGCACTTCTCATAACAATCATAACTTCCCACATATTTTCTTCTGTCATTCTCCGCCTTCACCACCACCAGGTCTCGCTCACCCCTCGTTCCCCGATTATAGCCCTGAGATGCTGACAGAGGATCAGACTGTCTGCCAGCATACACCACAGGCAGAAAGGGGAAGTCCAAAGGGATGCAAACGGCACATTCAAAAATCTTAACAGCAAACAAATACCACTACATACCACATATTTTAGCTATGAACAGCTGGTGACCTTGAAAGTCGCCTTATCATTGATCGGGAAATTCAACACAGACTTTAAGCCTTGCGCGAAAGTGTGTTAACAAAACACTCCCACCATGCAGGAAGCAATTGCGAATGCCCATTGCACTAAAAGCAGAGCTGTTCCTTTACTTCCCATGCACATTGTCTGGTGGCCATGGGCATTAACAGCCACACCTAAGTGTGCTAATGTGGTTACTTATTCAGGCATTGCCTTGTGTGCTTGCTTTCCAAGCAAAACTGGTATGGCAAAGTACGAACGGGTCTAAGGTCATGTGGACGCATGCTCTAACAGTGGCAACTCATTCAAGGCAGCATGCACAGTCACACAACTATCAGTTATTTAATATGTGAAAGCCAAATCTAGGAGTGGTGCATAGTAAATCAACCACCAGAAGCCGAGCTTCTGCAATAATCGTCAGTAATGTGCGCTTACTGAGGTCAATGCCACTAAGGAATAGCTACTGAAAAGCAAACTTTTAATCCAAGCAGTTTTATGTAAACACACTGATGGCATGGCACTGTAGGAATTTACACATTTTTTTTATTTTCACATCTCCTGCGCAAAACTACCATGCAAGTGACACCGTGTCATATATGAACGCATTCCTTAACAATTATTTAAAATATGTTGAATGCCTAATAATTAAAGGCGGCTTTTATACATGCCAAATAATGTTAATTATTACTGACCTGTCAGCGACGGTGTCTCTTTGGGTAGTAGTCACCTCGTTCTTCAAACTTTTTGTACCTAGCCCCTTGATAACCTTTTGTAGCGCCTCCATTTCGTTCACGGTGGTTGTTCAGCCTGTCAGCACCTTCTTTGCCACAGCGGAATTCTCTGTAAGGTTCTCTGTACGGTTGTCTGTAGGGCTTGGGTTCTCGGAATTGACGACCTTGCCGCTCGTAGCGACCTTGCTGCACATGGCGATCTTGACCATAGTAGGGGTCGTAGCAATTGTAATCATTGCCAGGCGGATACGCGTGGGGTCTATTTCGGGCGCTTTCATACCCGAACGAACGCTCGGAAGAAATTGGCATGTCCATGGGCATTCGATTTCTCTGCTCCATTTGGGGTGCGCACGAAGAGTCCCACATGCTACCAGGGGGCTCAAACATGTTTCCGTTCGCTCTCATGGAATCCATGTACTCGTAGTGTCTTTGCATCATGTTCACGTAAGTATCGTCGACGGTTGCTTGTGGCCTCCGATCCATTCTAATCTGCCGGTGGTACAGCGAAACGCCATCCATGAGTGCTAAGGCGTAGCCGACCGATTCCGCATGCTCAAACATGACGAAAGCGAAGCTCTTTGAGCATCCATTGTTATCCTTCGGAATCTTTACGTCTTCCACGGGTCCAGCCTGAGGAGCGCGGAGAACAAGCACTGTGAGAAGACGCAAGTACGCCTGTGAGAAGACGCAAGACGCAAAGACGCATCCGTACGTACCTGGACAAACAGCTCGCGCAGAATCTCTTCCGTCACCTTGGAATCCAGATTTCCGCACCAGAGAGTTCGATCTCGCCGGTCTTCTTCCATGGCACCAGGCAGCGAAATAAATTAACGAAGTAACAACGTTGGCACTTATGCACTTTCTTATGTGCTACTTCTCAGGCGCCGCTTTCGACAACTACCCTTTGTTTAACGTAGTGCCCAATTGAAGTCACTCGAGAACTGTCCGTACCTGTTTATGAAGTAATCTGGCAATAGGGGCCACCGCAAATTGGCATGAAAATCGAGAAATTCGCAGGCAAATTTACCAGAAAAGGGGTTCAGTTTAAAGACGTACAAAAGACAAAAACAAAAAAATGGAAGTTTTCGCGTCTTTAGCACTTATGAACATAACTAAGCAGTTGAAAAACTTTTACATAATCTACAAAGTTTTTCCAAATAAAGTCTATTTTGTTTATTTTATCTGCTTTTTTGTTTTATCATGACTTTTAGATACTATGATAGCGAAAACCGTGAATCAAGCCAAGTGGCTCAATATCACAACCTACTGTATTCTACTGACCTGCCCAGCGAGCGAAGCGCCAGCACACCCATGACCTACTACACTCCTGACCTGCCCAGAGAGCACCTCTTCCAGCGCCCACGTTCTAGTTCATACCTTCTGCCGCTAGGGCCGTCACCTACGAGCGGCGTGGCGCTAGGCAGCACCTGTTCGCTGTCGTCTGCTTCAGCCATCGCTGTGGCAGTGCAAATCGTTCTTATTGTGCATGAATTGTGTATGAATGTGTAAAATATGGCAAATAAAGCGATATGATTCCTCGTCAGAGTTGGCTGCATTCGTGTGGACGTTTGAAGCAGAAATAGAACCGTAAAAAAAGCACACAAAGGGTCACAGTGGCAAGCAGACGGGAACTTTTCTACAAATGAAGGAAAATTTATTATGAAAATATTTCTTGAATGAAAACGTAGTCCAACGAGATAAAAAAACTATTGTTAGGCATTCATTGTTCACACTGAATCACGATGGTTCCAGACGATACGCATACACAAATTGCAGAAGATACGCAGAAACACAGTAGGTCGTGTGCAGAAACTTGCAGACGGCAGATAGCTGCAGTAGTCAGCTCTAATAGTGGCCGCGTGCAGTTTTTTTTTTTTAGATGAGCTGACACCTCAAATGTAAGTATGGTGTATTGCTGCGTGCCATATTGCAAATCGGAACAAGGCAAACAAAGTAAAGTAAGTTTTCACGAGTTTCCTGCCACAGACATACGGGAAGAATGGATCGAGGCAATTGGAAGAAAAGGTGAGTCTTGTGTTTTTGAGAGTCGTTTCAATTCAGAACGAGTTGCAAGCTAGCAAGAAGCACCAGGGTGCTTTAGTAAACTTTATTTCCGTGTGTTATGCTAATTCACTGAGCTAAAAAACATGAAAGCTTTTTTAAAGTACCGCGGCTAATATGGCAGGCTCCACAAATAGTGCCAAGAAATTTAAATATAGCACACAAGAAAAAAGTAAATATACGAAATCTGTAAATTATGTAAAAATGCGTAGCGGTGGGTTGCGAGGGGTTCGAGCACCCTTCCCGAAGGCTGCCTCAACAAATGCCGCCGAAATCCATAAAAAAATTAATGATATGAAATATTTACGTGCTGCCTCCACAGTTTGTCTCTCTGTGTGTGTGTGTGTGTGTGTGTGTGTGTGTGTGTGTGTGTGTGTGTGTGTGTGTGTGTGTGTGTGTGTGTGTGTTTAGCGATGGACAACTCTTGAACACTGGGTGTCACTGAAGTTAGCGACCGAATTTGGTCAAATGTATTTCTCATCTCAAACCTCTATCTTCCCATACAGCTTTGTTCGTTTCTGTATAAGCTTACTTAAGGTAATTAGAAACGTTACGCCGGTAACGAAATGTGGCGATTAACTGTTCACTCTATATAGGGCTGGCAGGCGGTCGGGTATAATGACATAATTGAAGTCCTTCGTGCAATGAGCCCATCGGCTCTGTGAGGGTTAAGAGACCCAGCCGGTGAAACCGAAATGAGGAACCTGGAATAATCAGCGACAGATACTCTATTTATGTGCGTGCTGCATCTGAGATTACATCATGCATGACAAAGATTCGTTTTGGAGAATGCAAAAGAACAAAAACCACTGAAGTCATCGTCGTCAACGGCGGAGTCATTGTACAGGTTAGAGGTTTGCGCTCTAAACCAAGACCAAGGCGCTCAAGTGCGCCTCGGTTTCGGCTCTGTCGTATTGGGTCGCGCTTCGTTACTGAGCAGCCATTAGGAAATTCAGCTTTGTTATGAAACCTTGTATAGCCAATGAGCTCTTCGAATAAAGGGCTTCAAGTATGCCACTGGACTCGACCACGTACCATCACTAACATCAATCGACGAATGTAGTCATCTAAAAAGACATTTACAAAGGCTGCGAGAAAATATGAAAATGCACTAAATGGGTATACAGGTACTTCCCCAGAATAAAATCGTGGCTATGCTTTTTCTTAACCTCCCCATTTGGCTTGTTACATTTTGGAAAAATTAATTACAAAAAAGGTGTTATGGACTGTTATTTTGCAATCTTGCTAGCCATGCGTATACGCCTTTACCTTTGATGAAGGTTCAGGAAAGCATCGCTGGGAGCCCAGCGACCGGTCGAAGGTATGCAGCCTGCATTTTACCGCTGAAGATTACAGAACAGTGACGAAAAGGAAGATGTTGAAGCCCACAGCCGTGCCTTCCTTATTTCCCGCTTCTCCTGATCCACGTGGGCAAGATCCAATGCCGCGGAAAAAGCGGCTAAAACGAACGCAGGGGGAAACAACGCTGGCACCCATACAAGTAAAAATACTGTAAGTAAAACTTGAAGTCTAACACAACAACGGATAAGAATAATGTTAGCAGTATTCCCTTATGCGTTTAGCGGGACAATATATCTGTCATGCTTCGCTATTTTTTCGGCTTAACAGGGGAACGTCCAACGCAGATTCTTCTCAAGAAGAGCGAGCATCAGCGGAGCCTGGGGAAGTATATAGTTCTGAAAACCCAATTGAAACTGCACAAGAGGCCGAGTGGTTGCATTTTCCATCAAGTCAGGACAACATGGAGGACTGTAGTTCAGTTATACAAGGGGAACACCAGAAGAGGCCAGTGCGGCGCTCCATGACGTCGCAAACGTCGATCGGTTTGAAGAAGATGCGCTCCCTGGTCGCGGCAACTAAGACGTTGCGGCGGAAGTGCAGCAGGCTGAAAGAAATGAACAGTAATTTGCATTCACAGCTAGAGAAGCTAAAGAAAGATTTTTTCGAGATGAAAGCCCTCGCCGAGGCGAATGGCGCTCTAACGCTGCAGGTACGCAGTTACGTCAGTGGACGAATGTTATATTAATCCTTTTATATTCGCACTTAATTTTAAATGACTCTGAACATAATAACAATTTAGGAGTAAGTCAATTCTATCAACATCACCCGTACTACGAGAGGACGTCCGGTGAGCGAAGGAATTCTCGAAACTATAAGAGATTGTAAAGGTGGCGATGCTACCCTTAAGTTCTCGCGCATCGGCTAGCAGTGACGTCATACTTTGACGGCCTCAGGTAATGTCTAAGACTGCTGTGTTAGTAGATGCAAGGTCTGAAGTAGCAAGTTTCAAAGAAATGTTCTCAGCCAATGCGGCCAAGTACACAAGGAGCGACGCAACATAAAGCGACGTGCACGTGTCGAAGATTGTTCGCCAAACTCAGAACATTAAACCTAGTCTTAATTTTTTCTGTTCTAATAGTCGTATGATCGGAACAGGAACGATAGAGAATTATCAGGTACTCATTTATCAGTCTATTAACTTAGTGTCCCTATACTTTTTTGTAAGAAACGTCAGAAAGGGGAGGATGGAAGCTTGCAGTAAAAAACCTGTGAACAGGGGTTGTTCCCATTCTTTAATCGCTGTTTACACACACACAAACACTGAAAATAATCATGAACCAACTCGCTTAATCAGTAGTTTTAGCAAAGTTGTTTCGAGGCGGCGTTTCGACAAGCAGGCTTGTTTTCTGAAAGACTGAAATACAATTATAGCCTTAAGGATGACAAGTCCGCTGTCATGATGTCTGCTCGAGAGAAACTCTGTTTATAGATTTTCTTCTTCATATAAATTTACGTGACATTTTAGTGTACGCCGATGCTGGCAATCTTTCTGGTCATACGAAGGTGTAGGCCTGACATAAGGACACGGAATAAAAGAAGGTTGGTGGGTAAGCGCGCACATGAGCAAGTGTTTAAGATACGAAGGTCGGTGTGTACCCCCTTGCGTGATTGGCGCACCCCGAGTTTATTCCTTTATCCTGCGAACAACGAGTTCAAATTTCTGTCGTCGCAAACAATTAGGGACATTGGACTGACAACTGGAAAGACAGTAATTTGCAAGCTGTGTTGTGTTGGTGCTATGGGCCGATCGGTTTATGCTCGTACAGGAAGCCACGCTTGACGCACATGTGATGTCTGCCTTATAAACTTGAGCGAGCAGCATTGCATTCAAAAAGGAAGGAATGGTTTGGAAAGTGTAAGTGAACAGTTTCCGCTAGTCCGTATGTGTGAGTCGGTGGCCGGTTACTGAACATGACGCAAGTCTGAAGTTGCGCAATTCATTAATGTAGCATAGCTGCAATTGAATGTCCACGTGGTGACATGAAACATCTATTATTGTCTTAAGAGTAAACGCATATCTTTTCTCGCGATTATGAATTGTTGAATAAGGAATGATGCCAAATGCAAGGTTTCGACAATCAGGTGCACTATTCTTTGTCAGGACAGCAACAGCCTCCTTTAGTAGCGTGTGTGTGAACGTTTGCTCACTCTCCCACAACATCTAAACTTGTCTTGACAAGGGCAAGTCCAGTACGTAAATGTCGAATTGTTGGATGCGCCGGCATTCCCTGCTCTACGATGTTTCAGCGGGTCAAGCTTCCATTCTCCCCTGCACTTCCGCTTTCTTCCAGTATGTTATCTTGCGCGTGATTTACGCATTTCAACTGCCCTTTCATCATCAGGAAATGCTGGACGAGAACGACAAGAAGGCTGAATTTTTGAAGGAGCAATTGCAATGCCTGCGTGAGAAAAATCACCGTTGGAAAGAGGTGACCATCAGGCAGGCCATAATGTGGCAAGCTAAATCACCCTGCGGGTACGAAATGTTGCGGAGGTCTGGGTGCCTCACCCTTCCAAGTCGCATGACACTGAAGCGTTACATTGGCTACTGTACTGGAGCAGTTGTTTCGTCGCTAATGAAGCAAAGGCTGCACACGGAAAGCACACACTTGTCCGAACGGGTACGTTACTTCGATCAGAATTATTTACAATATGCACGCGAATAACGAAGGAAGCAGCGCACGCGGCAGTGTTTGACTGATCAAAATACATGCTAGTATAGCCGAATGAAAAGTGATTTAAAGTGAATAAACAGGGACCAGACCTGTGGCAAGGATTACTCGAACGTAAGATGTATTGTTTAAGAGTATACGGCAGTGCGCTATGTTTGCTCTAAACCCTAATCATTTCTGTTAAATTATGGGTCATGTACGGAACAACAAAGAAGGTTATTTATATAATTAACTGTCTCCGCCGATATATAACGCATGTCTGTTAACAGTGAATTCCCCCCCCCCCATTTTTTTTGTTAGGAAAAAATGGGCTCTTTGATTGTGGATGAAATGTCTTTAAAGCAAGCACTGACGTACGAAAAAAAAGGAGACAAAGTCCATGGCCTAGTCGAAATGGGAGGCCTAGAAAAGAAGTGGGCATTCAGAACGAGCTGGCCACACACCTTCTCGCCTTTGTATTTGTAGGCTTATCAACGCACTACACGTAAGTGAATCATCACTTTGTCTATCACTATACGTTTCGCTGTGACTGAAAGACTAACCCCACCTATAGATATAAAAAGAAAACGTTGTCTTTAATTAACCAATGATGTGCTATTCCGCGACCAGGGCTGAAAGTCTGGGGAGGGGCAGGGGGAGTCGTCTTCTATTTTTTAAGGAGGGCTCCCCCCCCCTTTCCCCCGGCAAGTCAACTTTAGCATTGTGCACTTATTTGACAAGCACTCGAGATGAGCAATTGGCTCTCCTCCTCTCTCCAACGGAGTGAGATTTTAAGCCCAGCTGACACCGACGCTACAGAATACTGCTAATTTTTATCTTTTTCAGGCTACCCGTGGGATATTATTTCACGCAGTCAGTAAAAGGAGACCACCTGCATCAACTAACACTTGAAGTAATTAAGTCCATCGAAGAAGCAGGATTCCAAGTGGTCCGACTTGTAGCTGACAACCACGCTTCGAACAAAAAGATGTTCACCATGTTAGGGAATGGTCGTATGATGCCAGTTGTGCCGTAAGTTGCTAAGTATATATTTTTGCTCTCAGCTCGCATTAAGCTGTGCGCAATGCCTAGTGTAAATATTTTTTTATATGTATTCGCAGTGTGCCCTCAATGTATGCATGGATCGAATCCCAGCTGCGGCTGCTGCTTTTCCGATGGAGGCGGAAATGTTGTAGGCCCGCGTTCTCAGATTTGGGTGCACGTTAAAGAACCCCAGGTGGTCGAAATTTCCGGAGCCCTCCACTACGGCGTCTCTCAAAATCATATGGTGGTTTTGGGACGTTAAACCCCACATATCTATCAATCAATGTATGCACGCGCATGCATGCCGTGTTTGAGTGAAAAAAAAAACAAAAGACTTGGTCGCACAAAAAAAAAAAGCCTGTATCAGCATCAGAGCCCCCCCCCCCCCCCCTTCTTTTTTTTTAATCAGCGCTGCCATATAAGAAAGCCGTGTCCATAACAAGATTGCTATCAACAGTACAATCGCTGTAAATAGCCCGTCTTTACAAATCAATTGACGTTACGCGTTTGCGTAATGTATGCGCACCTGCATGCGACTGTATGAATGGGTGAGTATACTTAAAGTTTCGGAAGATTTAAGGTGTAGGTAATCTCAATAAAACACACACACAGACCTGCAGGATCATGGCATGAGTGGAGAAATTTTATAATAAGGTAATAATTAACAACGCACACGTCCTTCGAATGGCTAACATTTACATTACTTTGGTAAAAAACAGAAAACCGTATATGCAACTAATTATTCACACCGCAAACGCCGCCTTTCTCCAATTTATTTATTCATTTTTTTTGTTGTTGTTGCAGACATCCAATGGATATGAATCGGAGGCTCTTCCTTTCTTTTGACCACTGCCACATCCTGAAAAATCTCCGCAACCAGATGTTGTCCACCAAACGCGTTCTGTTCAACAATGGGCATTACTACAGCCCCACGTATTTGAGAAAGTTGCTGGACATAACAGAAAAACAGTCGTCGTTCAAGCTTGTTCGGAACCTTACGCAGAAGCACGTTTACCCGACGAACTTCGAGAAATTAAGCGTGAAGAGGGCCGTTGAAGTGTTCTCTCCACAGGCATGTATAAGAAAAGGTGTAAACCCATTTAGCGTTAGTGTCACACACTCCCAGATTCTCTGTATTCCTTGTAGACATCACAATGCGTGACGCACACAGGTCATGCAGGAAATGCCTTTTCGTTAGCTGTAAATTATGTATGCTTCCTGCAACCTGTATTACACAAAAAAATACATCTAATTGAGCTAGAATCATGCTCGCAGTTTTCTATCAGTAGTGACGTTTATACTTCTCAAATTCTTTGGCGCGCTCGGGCAAACTTTTATGCGCTAATATTACGCCACAACTCATTTTACATCATATTACGTCAAGTGAATGTTCATGCAGAAGCAGAAAAAATTTTGCAGCTTTTCGTTCAAATGAAGCAGTACAAAAACTGCCTTTTAATAGTAATTCACCGCAAACGATACGTGAATATTCATGTTAGTTTCTGGTTTATTTGTTTGTAGAACCCAAACGGAAGCAAATGGTGAAAATGTAATTCAATACGTATATAACTGCTAACATATTTATCAGTATGGTCACATAAAAACATGCACATGAGCTGCTGCTACTGCTGCTGCTAACAGCGCATGGTTATCTGAACATACAATTTCCCTTTCTTAACGAATGTACCTGCGCGTATTGCTTACCACACAATAATTACGTATCATTAGAGCTTCTATAAATATATGTTCACTAACACAAACTCACTTAAAAGTGCACGTTATTGATGACTGCAGTGCCACTTGTAACTCGTCTCACTTGCTGTATACGAACGTCCAAGCTTAGAAACCTCTCTCTAAATAATTCCGATCATTTTTAATATGTCGCGTCTCCTTGGTTTCTAGGTGACATCGGCCTTACGATACCTCTTACAATACGGCCGCAGATTTGGCATTTTCGGGTTTGAAGACTGCCTGCCAACCATCGAGCTGATGGAAATGATATTTAAATGGTTCACCATACACAACATAAGAAATACAACCTTCCACGTAGTAAGCCGGGACCAAAACAGGATGCCGTTCAGTTCCCCAGATGATGACAGGTACATTCCATTTATCCCGCTAGGTTTCATATTTTCTACAATAAACTGCTTTATTTTCAGGTTGATATGGCTGGAGCAGGAATTTCTGCCCTTTTTCGCAGCATGGAAAGCCGCGGCACCACATAAGAGGGCATTCATATCTCTTGAAACATACGAAGCTCTCCAACTGACCACAATGTCCACAGTACAGTGCACACAATTTCTCATCCGTTCAGGTTTCCTATACGTGTTGACTGCCAAATTCTCCAGTGACCCTGTCGAAGCACTTTTTTCCACCATCAGACAGCTTCAAGGAAGCAACGATCAGACAGACGCCCGTGCTGCGCTTTCATCACTGCAGAAAGTCCTCGTGATGGGAATGATGCACTCATCACCAAGCGGCAGTACAGAGCAAACAACGTCTCCTCTTGGATCGCCCAGTGCAAGGCAGGCGTCGTGCTCCACAGCAGTAAAGCAAGCCGGACAACCTCTGGAAATGCACTCGCTAGTAAACCAGAATCAAGGGTCGTCAGGCGAGTGCGCGGCATCGACATCTGCTACTATAACCCAGACGATGCGGCCACATCTAGAAGCCCTGCAGACTTGCCGTGGTGCGCTTTTCATATCTCGTTGATTCCGTGTAATGGAATGATTTACATTATTTAAAAATTATTACACACCGTCCAACAATTCCCCACTATACGATATTATGCATATATTATAAACTCTGCGCTGCTTACTGTGTTACATGCAAGCCGCGTGAGGCAGCGTTTGCGTCAGTGCACGATGTAGATGAAAACATGCTTCTCAATCAGTTATACTGTGTATGTATGTAACGATAAGTCCATGGTACAAGCAGGTACTATGGCTTACATTTAAAAATATAACATGCTTTCACCAGGCGCCCACACAACTCGACTAACCGACGTCCCTTTCCCGCAATCGGGGAAGAAATTTTCGGCGGTTTTGAATCGCTGTCATAACTGGCACACAGATGATGGCATGGCTCGTTTGCGTTCGCCTTACTCTCTTGAGATGCTGTCCCTTCCTAATCCCGTCGTCTTTCTCTTGCTTCTTCTCCTAGATTTTTTTTTATTTTTAAACGTTTCTCCCTCAGTTTTTTTTATGTTGTTGTTTATACTATTCTCCGGACTTCTTCCCTCCTGTCGTGACAAGCTATAAATCGACGCGGAAAATGTGTAAATATTATTATACCTTGAAAAAGACGGGGCTCTCCCGACGCAAACGTCGGCTGAATGAACAGTTATCTTGATGATATGTGGGGTTTAACGTTCCAAAACCACCATATTATTATGAGAGACACCGTAGTGAAGGGCTCCAGAAATTTCGACCACCTGGGGTTCTTTAACGTGCGCCCAAATCTGAGAACGCGGGCCTACGGCATTTTCACCTCCATCGAAAGTGCAGCCGCCGAAGCCGGGATTCGGTCCCGCGACCTGCGGGTCAGCAGCCGAGTACCTTAGCCACTAGACCACCGCGGTGGGGCAACAGTTGTTATCTGAAAGCGCATTAACATCCATATATATATATATATATATATATATATATATATATATATATATATATATATATATATATATATATATATATACATATATATATATATATATATATATATATATTTCTCATATTTTGTATACGGACACGTGTCGGTTTAATCATGCATGCTTATCTATATACTGATAAAATTCTTGCACACTTTTCATTTCTACCTTCCCACAGGTGCCCCACAGCCAGGCATAAGGGCCAGCACGCTTGGCCTTATAGCGGGCTTCCTGGTGAAAGCAGCTGAGGATTGCATTACTTGCGACGACTGCATCGGCAAAATCAAGGCTCCCAGCTCATCTGGACCAGCTACTGCTGTGATATTTAATTTAGACAGGGGAGGGCTTTCATACCCAACGATCTCATTTCTTTCCTTTGTGAGCACTCTAGAAAGGGCCGCGGAAGCATTTGCGCCATTGGCCATTTCCAAAAAGAGGCCGATGGCACTTTTTGTGCAAACTGTGCTACCTGCAGTGGCCTTGAACCCTCTTTTCAGCCATAAAGGCGCTACTAGCGAGCACCGAGAAGCCATGGCGCGGCTAGTGTTGCAAAAATTTAGCCGTCCTTTCTTCTCAAACTACGTGCGGGACAAAACAGCCAAAGAAGGAAAGAGAAAGAGAATAGCCGAAAAGCCAAAATCTCGCAAGATTTTAAAAGTTTAGTTGCATGCCTCCATTGTATCATGTACGCGCCCAGAACCTTGCTAGCACATTTTATTGAACTATGACCCAAATGCACGCAGCTCTGTACGCGTACATATGTTTTTCTTTATTGCAGACACAAGCCGTCACTGTGTGCCAGCAAGTAGGATATTCTTCGAAAGTGCAGAAACTTTGTTTGAAACATCAGCTTTAACTGGCATATTGTGGCACGCATAAGTAAAGCGACAAATGTGTTTTGTTTCATTTTGAAGTGCTGTAACATTGCTCGAATCACACGCATACACTCGCCAAATTCTTTTAGCAGAAACCTTGATATCACTTTGAGGGATCTGCTTTTCATTGACAAACGAGTATAATGGCACATTTTCAGCATGTGTACGCGCCCCAACTGCGGGTGTCGCCCTTGGGCGCTATCAATCAAACATAACCACTAGTACAACAAAGGCGGTACTATTCCGCCCTAAAAATAAGTCTGTTAATGAAAACATACATTTCAAGTATGGCGATACTATTATTGAGTTAGTAAATTGTATAAAAATTCTTGGAGTTACATTTTCGAGCAATATGCTTTGAAACGATCGCATTTACAGTGTGCTGGGTCAGTTATCTCGCGTAGAGGGCACGGTGTACAGTGGCAAAACTGTTCTACTATACAAGGTAAAATTCTTACTTTATAAATGACTGTTCTGTTGGCATCTTGCTTATTGTTTCTTGGTATGAAGGACTACGACTAACACGCGCTTACAAAAACTGTACCTGATGCAAAAGACGTATATTAGAATAATTTTTTACTGGTCGTATGATGCTCGCAGAAGTGAATTGTTTCAACAGGCTGGAATACCACCCCTACATCGTCTCTACGATTTTAAGTTAGCATTGGTGGTCAGGCGTCAATTTCAAGAAAGTCGACATTATTTGTACGACCTCTCGAAACTGCAGCCAAATAATTTGTTCGAAACATGACATAAAGAAACATGGAAAATAAAAACTTCGAGAACAAACTACTCCACAGATAGGTTGTTCTACACAGTTTCTACGTTAATTGATAAATATGTGAAAGCTGGCATAGATTTCTTACTCTGTACCCGAACTCAATTGCACGATATACACATGTATAGTTTTCAAGATTTCTTTGCAGTTGCTACATTGTTATCATGGTTGCTATTTTTATTTTTAGAATTTGAACTTGATATTTTTGTAATTGTTGCTTAGATAACATTGCTAACTGTTTGCCAGTGCTGTCGTGCTAAAGGCGTCTGTGGGCCTATGTCAAGCTGCCTCTTTCGAAGAGCAGCTTTTACCTGCCGCTGTCCTTCATCAAACTATTGATGAAAAATAAAACATTATTATTATTATTATTATTATTATTATTATTATTATTATTATTATTATTATTATTATTATTATTATTATTATTATTATTATTATTATTATTAACTATGCTCGACAAGATGATGATAATGATGACGATAAAAACTTTATTGGGGTCGCAATGTGTTGCCCTCGATAGGCACATCACTGCCTTTACCATATCGTCTCATCGCACGGACATATAAAATCATAGAAACGCGCATCGGCCAGCGCTCCCCGTTCCAGCAGACAAACTCCCGTAGCGAAATTTGACGCACAATTTTTGTTGTGTAGGTCACAGTAAGAGTTAAAGCTTCAATTCCTGTGTCTCTCCTTGATATGCGTCCGTGGGCGTATGTGCATTATTCTCTTCTATCAATTGACTACAAGTGTAACACCTGTCCAGGGCGAGTGTCCAAGGTAAGTGCTCAACAGGGGCACTGCGTTTCACCTGACGCGTCCTAAACAACCTAAAATCAGTTTGATATTCTATTACCAATGAGTACATTATTAGTCAAAAGCTTTATGAATACTAAATTGAAGTTTTTTTAGGCTGGAATGGCAAAAACAACCATGCAGCAAGACATTTCTACGCAAATATACAGCTTTAGAAGTCAATCAACCAGTATAGCCTAACTACTAAAATGTAACACATAGCACACGTTAGCCTTTTCAGCAAAAAACAATCACACGTATAGGCAGTTTGTCACAGAAGCAGACGCATGGTATCAGTCCGTCGCCCTCCTGCCGGCCGCACAGTAGCAGACGAACAGGTTATAGGTAGCGCCACCTACGGCGAGCGATTGAACGAGAGCGGGGACACGCGCTCCCATAGGAACCCCGCTATCTGAACAGGTCAGGAGTGTAGTAGGTCATGAGCACACCCTTTCTGGTATTGGCGCCGGCCGCTACGTGTTCTGTAGCGCTGCAACTTACCTCATCCGCACCGGTTGCTGACGGCCAAAACATGGGTCGCCGCGCTTTTTTTGGCGTCTGCTCGCGCGCCACTGAGAGAAAAGCAGCAATGTTTACGTGTGCATACACTCTAGACAATTAAAATGAATAAAAGCCTCATTTTTAATAAACTTAAAAGTATAATGACGATCTTTTGCGACCGTCTGCTCGTGCCGAGCTGCGACAGAAGCGTGCAGGTTGGTGTAGTTTGTACACCAGCGAAACGAGCTTTCTTGGTGCAAATTAACCATCACTACGGTGGTGTGCTGCGTGCCTTTCTGCGAATCAAGGCAAGGGAAGACTCCTGATGTGACTTTTCATGAGTTTCCAGTGACCGAGGTCCATGAAATATGGATCAAGGTGATTTCTGTGTTGAAAAAGACTATGTGTCTCTAAATGAGTGAGCTGCTGGGCTGAGTGGTGGTGCATGACAGTCTGAAACGCATATTAGCGCAAAAAATAATAAACCGACAACCTCAAGAAAGTAAGCGACGACGAGCTATACTCCCAATTGTTTATTAGCAAAAAAAAAAGGAAAGATGACAAGAGTGCACATATGGAAACCATGTCACTACATGTGGTTATGCAACTAGGTTTTGAAACACACCCATTGTGTGAAGAATTCGTGTTTAATAAGTAATATTAAGTGCTGTTTTGTTTAAAAACAGTTGTAGAGTGTCCTTCATTGATTATTCATGTACATGCGATCTACATTTGCTATTTGAGACGAAGGTATTTATGCGCAAAATTATCTGTATTTGGTTGTTTTCTATGTGCACCGGATGCCGCGGACACCGTCAAATGTCATAGTCCTTGCCCTTTTTTGCCCAGGCAGTAAATGCAAGCCAGCTGAGTGTATTCCAACGGCTACAAGTCTACCATTGTATACACATATAGCTGGTATCATGAGTTAAATAAACATTTAGTGGCCAGCGCTTCTTAGAACTGTATCTGTCGTCATTCTTTCTTGTTTTGCACGCTGATACGTGTGTTTGTACCCGATTTGCGATTAAAATTGAAAAATAATGCACTAAAATGTCAACCAAAATGCAAAAAAATATTCTCAAAATCACACAAAATAAAATGATTCAAGATAGCCGCCACATTTACTCAATGCATGATGAAACTCTTCTATAACCGGCAGCAACCAACGCATTTTCATGCATCCACCGGCGCTCAGCTAGGGTAACTCGAGCGTCCCTAGGCGGCGAAGTTTGGAATCCTAGCCGGCGCAGGCAGCTCCGTAGACCGCCGCCAGCTGGGCAGGTCAGGAGTACAGTAGGTCATGCTCAATATGATGTAGCCTGAAAAGCCATGTGCGTATCACGCCAATTTCAAAAATGTTGAAATCCCTGTCTATGCACAATTCCATGACAATATTAGTTACTTATGCTCAATTGATCATGCAGAATTCAAATAAATCAAAGTTGTGACAGTCATGCGAACTAAGTGTAATTCATGGCAGTTCGCATTGTCACTGGTGGAACTATCTGGATGAAGACGTGAGCACAGAAACGGCTCTGCTTGTGATCTACTGACTTCATTTGATTGATTGATATGTGGGGTTCAACGTCCCAAAACCACCACATGACACTGACCTCATTTGTCGATGCGTCCACGTCAGCTATTCTGAAGTTTAAGCTTACATTATTTTAACAATATGTTGAGTGAAATTTTCCATTAATTCAAGAATGAAAGGCATTTCTGGCTTCGTGACTGGGTTTACTCTGTTTTGAAGTGGCGTCCAATTTTCAGTCTGCCGTAAAAGTACTGCGAGCACCAGCTACTACTTATTAGTAAGCTTCTAACTAATAATCCATACGCATACAAGAAAAGGGTGCCCGTATATCCTACCTCCCACCTTGAAGTTGGCGCTCACAGCGCGTGTGCGAGAAACATGACTAACTCGTGATGTTCTTTTTCCCAGCTGCTACGCTATTTTGGCCTGGAGAGACTAGAAAGGTGCAATACTTATTGAATGGGATCACATTTAGTGCTGCACCTGCTCTGTTGAAGTGATCAAAACCTATATTTATTTTTTCAGCCAAAGCACTCTGCTTTACCAAAGATTATGGACAGCACCGTCGTCTCATTGCGTTTTGGGCAATCGGTTGCATCGGGGACAACACTGACGCGATGCGTCATGATTAAATGTACGTATGCTTGGGTATGTTGGCGAATCATAGCAGCATTTTTAGTTACCTAGAAGCACACTGCGCCAAAGGCGGACTTATTTAGTAGCGATATGTCTGCCAGAGTTTACAGCTACCAGGGGCTGTTTTCAAGACGAAGTTTTCATCTGGGACTATACAATCTGAGTCTGTGGGAATGCGGAAACACTTTCTTCCGCCATCCAGTGCATCTAACTAGGTATAGTTGCATTTCATAAATGAAGGACCTATGTTTTCACTATATAGGATTTCTCATTTAGGCTGTCAGCTTTCTAAACATAAAATTGTTGTAAACTGTAGAATTTCAGAAATATGAAGCGTTGCCTTCAATCGGCAATACAAAAATAATCGTGATTTTGCATAATGCACCTAATATCACATGAAAATCAAACAATACTTTTATTTTCCGTGTTTTTCCGTGTTTGGCTCGTTTTCCCGTGTTTATCTCATTATTATTGTGTCAAAAACACGGAAAAACGAGCCCTTAGGTTTACACTTCTTTCCCTTATTCATTAACGAGGGTCTCGTACTGGCAGACTTGGTGTCATTAGGTTGTATACGAGGGACTATTGGTCAGCTGCCCGCTTGTGTTAGGTTCACGTGCTACGTGACGCCACACGTGCGCATAAAAGGGTGGTTCAGACTCGCCGCTTGGCTTACAGATGGCGCTGATTGACACTCCCACTTCTAAATTCATATATAAACCCAAAAAAGTGGATGGAGGGAAGGCCGCTGTGATAGCTCAGTGGTAAGAGCATCAAACACGTTATTCAAAAGTCGTCGCTTCGATTCCCGCTCAAGCTGGTTATTTTTTCACCCACCTTTCTTTCTTCTTATTTACATTCCATTTGTTCCAATAACTTCCCCTATACATTTCTTGGCATTA